ATAAATAAATGAAATAAAAAATCTTAAATCCAGCCCTTTTCATTCATATACTCATCAAGCTTTTTCTTAAACTCACTTCAATTTACTGTCTCTACAACATCTGAAGACAATCTGTTCCAAAGGCCAACCGCCCTTTTAGAAAAATGAAACTGTCATAACTGAAGATGACTCCTACCTTGCCAAAATTTATACTTGTGGCCCCTATTCCAACTGTTCTCATTGTTAAATATAAAAAAAGATGATGCATCAACACTATCAATTACCATTACAATCTTAAACACCTCAATCAGATCCTCCCTTTAACTCTTCTTTTTTCAAGAGAAAACAATTTGAGAGAATTCAGCCTCTCCTCGTATGACAACCCCTCCATCCCAATCACCATTCTAGTAACCCTTCTCTTAAACCTTTCCAACAATTCAATGTCTTTCTTAAGGTAAGGAGCCCAAGACTGAACACAATATTTCAAATGTGGCCTAACCAGTGACCTGTACAATGAAATTATAACCTCTTTTGACTTGTATTCAATATTTCTACAGATACAACCTAAAATCCCATTTGCCCTATCACTATCAACAGCACACTGCTTGGATGTCTTTAGAGACTGATTGACTATTACACCAAGATCCCTTTCCTTCATAACATTATTAAGGTTATTCCCATCCAAATTATACTTATAATTCAAATTATGATAACCACATGCATTATTTTGCATTTATTATAATTAAAACCCATCAGCCATTTATTTGCCCAACTCACTAAATGATCTAAATCCTTTTGTAAATCAGTGGCATCCTCTTCACAGCTAGCAACACCCAAGACCTTAATATTATCTGCAAATTTTAGTAATTCATTGACTATCTCTTCATCTATGTCACTGATGTAAATCAAAAAGAGCAAAGGTTATAAGACTGAGCCCTGAGGTACCCCACTTGTGACATTAATTCAGTTTGACTGAACTCCATTTGTAACAACTCTCTGCTTTCTTCCATCCAACCACTCTTCTATCCAATTTGCTAACTTATCCTCCACACCTATAGAGATAATTGATTTTACAAGCCTTTTATGTGTCACCTTGTCAAATGCTTTCTGAAAATCCAGATAAACCAAATCTACACCCTTACCCTCATCTTCATAAGCAGTAACCTTTTCAAAGAATGTTAAAAGATTTGTAAGGCAAGATTTTCCCTTAGTGAAACCATTTTTACTATTCATTAAAATTCTAAACTTTGTTAAATGACTTTGCATACCATCTTTTAACAGATATCATTGTTACTTATCTCCATATGCAGCAAAACATTGAACCTAATAGAGCAATGATCACTTGCACCTAGATGTTCCCCAATTTCAGTCCTCTCAATCATTTCTGTATTTGAAGTTTACAATAAATCTAATTAACAGCTGAAATCTTAATCTCATTGTATAGTTTCTCACTAATTTCATCTGGTGATCTTTAACAAATTCCTACTAAAAGCCTTTTCCCTTTATATCCACTAATAGAAACCCAAATGAATTCAATCTCTTTGCTATTATCTTTGATATCCTCAACTTCAACAGGATGTAAATCACATTTCACATATAAAGCCACTCTTTCCCCCTCTTTAATACTCTATCCCTATTAAATAACCTGTATCCCTATATTTAAAAAAAATTCTGTCATCAAAATCATCTATGTGTAACCATCTTTCAGTTATTCCCATTATATCAAAATCCTCCATTCCTACCAGTGCTCTAAAGTCATCTGTTTATTTCTTATACTTCTAGCATTACAATAGTAACAATTAAGCCTATCATTATAACTACTTCTATACTCATTTCCTATGCTAAACTTTTCTCTGCCTCCGAAGGGCTGAAATTTATTGCTCAACAGAATAGGTTCATTATAACTAAATTCACTACTTTTAGTCGTGACAGTACTAATTTGAACTTCCTGAAAGTCAATGTTAGCTGATGTATCACTTACTTGTTAAAGCTTAAGCTCCTCCTGAAATCCTGCTGCCATTTCCCACAATCTACACTTCTCTTTATCTATTGCCTCTACTTTAATCATGATTGCCTCTAACTTCTCCTCCAACTTACAAACTCTACATAATAATTGCGCATCTTCATTTCTAGCTTCCTTAAAAGTACATTCCAGTCCCAAGTTCCCTAATAAAACCCACTCATTGCACCCATTACACCTAACAAACTGTGAATGCTTAACTCCTACAGTAGTCTTAACCATTGTATTTATACTCAATACCAAATACCAGTAGCCTATTGTTAACACTATTACTGTTAAGCCTAACGTTTAAGAACCAATTATATTATTCTTTTATCACTGCTTTGTCTTCACACTAAAGTAATAAAGTTTATCTTTAATTATATGGAACTTAATAATTTGTTTGAACAATATACCTAATGTTAATAATAAAACATATTTACTTTAGCTTGATTTATATTATAACCTACTTATATCTATAAGCTGAATTTAAACTAATGAATCTAAGTTCAAATAAACACATTAATTCTAGAATACCAAGAGACAATAAACAAATTTTTAGTTTGTATTTATTTAATAAAACAATGTGTTTATCCTGTTTTACAATTTACTAGTGAGTTTAAATATACCCAAGCTTACAGTACCATTAAATGTACTAAGCCTATTTTAAGTTAAAACACTGTAATAATAATTTACACTCCTAAACTCTATCTTAAGTTTGACTGACTTACTTTTATGTACCAATCTTATTATATCTAGTTATTATTGTGTTATTTAACCCAAATTACTACAAATTATAATAATATTATTAAATAACTTTCAGAAATCTATGAGCGTAACTTTTCAACATCCTACCTCTTCAATATCACCCTCTTGTAATTATATTTAAGATCTTTTATTATTTTATTTCTTTTGTTGGGTGTTGCATATAGTAGAAATATAATTCTACTTTAAGAATTATAAGGACTTTTAAGGGTAAATATCTTCCCACACCTGGCTGAAGACAGTGATAGGCAGTAGGAATTGAGATGTTTAATTGATTTTCCATGATAGCTGGCTAGTTTTTTCTGGTATATGGGATATCCCTAATGCATTTGGGAACTATTACTACAGGCATTATCCATTATGACTTTAAGGTTACGATTGGGATTAACAATGGATCTTGCTAAAAACTTCTTAATGCTTATTTTATATTAAATTCATTATTTTTTTATAGTGCCGAGTTTAATTGCCTCTTAACAATTAATGTAATTAATAGTATTGTAGCTATTTATTTCATATATATATACATAAGGAATCCTGAACTGCTATTCAAGACAGAAGATCTAATGTCAAAATTGTATGATTTGTTAGGATGCACATCATCTTGCTGAGATTAATACCAAATATATTTTAGTGAGAGAAATAGCTTATTATTTGTATGATATTATAAAACTTTTATCAGATTCAGTTCTGTTAAAGTATTCAGTGGAACACAATTTTTGTAGGAGAACCAGTATAGGGCTGCTGCAATCCGTGCCCTTTGTAAAATCACAGATGTAAGTATTTTTAATTTTCAGTTGCATACTGATTAGCAGAACTCTGAAAATCAAATTAATATATACCTAAAGCTTTTCATAGTGTTTGAATAATATTTTACTAGCTAGAAACAAGATTACCTAAAGCTTTTCATAGTGTTTGAATAATATTTTACTAGCTAGAAACAAGATTACCTAAAGCTTGTCATAGTGTTTGAATAATATTTTACTAGCTAGAAACAAGATTACCTAAAACTTGTCATAGTGTTTTAATAATATTTTACTAGCTAGAAACAAGATTACCTAGAGCTTGTTATAATGTTTGAATAATATTTTACTAGCTAGAAACAAGATTACCTAGAGCTTGTTATAATGTTTGAATAATATTTTACTAGCTAGAAACAAGATTACCTAGAGCTTGTTATAATGTTTGAATAATATTTTACTAGCTAGAAACAAGATTACCTAAAGCTTGTCATAGTGTTTGAATAATATTTTACTTCCTAGAACTTTAAATTTATTGGTTGTGGCATTGGTGTCATACATTCAGTACAATGTTGGAATAGTTTTCTCTGTGTGAGATTGCTGTTGGAATATGAATATGTAATAAAAATCTTATTTTTCTGTTCTACTTTATGGCACCAGATTTACTTAAGAAGTCATGAAAAGAAAGAAAAAGATCATTTCTAGTACTATATTCTCAGAATTCTCATGCAGTATAGACATTACGTTCACAATATTGTATTTTATAATAGTTTAGAGCAGTGTTTAAAAGCAGTATCACCGATATCTTATCCAAGTTGAAGAGTTGAACTTGGCCTAAAACTCTGTAATATCAAATTTGAAAAGAAATGTATGTTTCCATATTTTGTTTTTAAATATTGTGCTGAATGTATGGCCAGTTTCTTTGTTTAATTAACTTTATGAGTTAAATAACTTGTTGTTATGTTTCTATTTCAGAGTGGAATGTTACAAGCTATAGAAAGATACATGAAACAAGCTATTGTAGACAAAAATCATTCTGTATCAAGTGCTGCACTAGTTTCCACTCTGGTAAGGTTTACTTGTCACTGTGTTAGTTGCTGTACTGGTTTTCACTCTGGTAAGGTTTACTTGTCACTGTGTTAGGTGCTGTACTGGTTTCCACTCTGGTAAGGTTTACCTGTCACTATGTGTTAGTTGCTGTACTGGTTTCCTCCCTAGTAAGGTTTACCCTGTGTTCGGTGCTGTACCAGTTTTCTCCTTAGTATGGTTTACTTGTCACTCTGTGTCAGTTGCTGTACTGGTTTCCTCCCTGGTAATGCTTATTTGTTACTACGTTATGTGCTGTACTTGTTTCATCCCTGGTAGGATTTACTTTTCACCCTGTGTTAGGTGCTGTACTGGTTTCCTCCATAGTAAGGTTCACTTGTCCCTCTATGTCAATTGCTGTACTGGTTTCCTTCCTTGTAACATTTACCTGTTACTCTGTTAGGTGTTATACTTGTAAAGTTTATTTGCTACTCTGTATTAGGTGTTATTTCTGTTTTCTCCCTGTTAAAGTGTATTTGCTACTTTGTATTAGATGTTATTTTGGTTTTCTGCCTGGTAAAGTTTATTTGACACTAAATGTTATGTCTTACTCTTGTTTTTTCACTGGTAAGATTTATAAAATAAATAAATATTAGGGTTTAATTTATTTTGGGTTACACAAAAGAAATTTGAGATTTTTGAGATGAAGAAAAGTATATTTAATCTTAATATGAAAATTGCTTTGCACATGGACTATTCAAAACAAATACTCAATATGTTCATGTACAAATATATATTTTAGTTTATCAAAATTACTTCTTTTAAAAAATATGATTTTTTGTATGTGAAAGACTTATAATGTTAACTGAAAGACTGCCAAATTTTGTGAATATATATATATATATATA